GGGGGGGGGGGGGGCTCATATATTTCAAGGTAGCCTCATGGACTTTCTATAGTGCTACTAAGTACTCTGTACTTTTGGACTCAGAAATTATAAACTGGGTTCTGATAGAGACAGAATTGACTTTTAAATATTTAACATTTAAGGAATTAATATTTAAAGGCATGTGATGTGCGAGAGGCAAAGGGAGAGATTTCCCAGACACATTTTCATGTAGAAGTATTTCTTCTATCACTGCTGTGTATAGATACCTAATATAAAAAAAATACATGGAAGTGACCTCCTCTGGTTTAAGAGGAGAGTTGGGGGTCCCTGAGGCATAGCTATGGAACTCTGTAGCTCCACTGGTTTGGAAACCATTGTTCAAAGGTGGTAGTTCTAGCTTCCTGGTAGATAGGTATTCACTATATGGACATAGGGTGAAAACCAGATGATGTGTCATGGAAGAACAGCAGAACCTACCCTCAGAGAAATTCCTAGGATGATTTGAGACGCCAACAAACCTGCCCATTTTGCAGCAGATGTGTCATTTCCATTTCCAAAAGGTCTGAGTTTAAAAATTGATCTTGTTTTTATGGTCAGCTGATGTACTTGGCATGCTAACTAACCCTGTTTAAACTGCAGCTGAACCAATAGGAATAAAATTGTTGACATGTTTGCAGCTCTGCATGGGATTTCCGTTAGCTGGAAATGGCCCTTATAGCTTGTTTTATAGAGTGGTGAGGTCTTGATGGAGAAAATGGAGCATAAAGAAATATGATGTTTTATTTATTTAAGGAGGCTGCACAAAGAGAGTCTATACATTTATAATATAACAATTTTTAAAGGGATTGTCTCAAAACCACCTTGAAGACTTACTTTGGCCCTTAATCATTCATTTTAAATAACAAAAAATAGAGGAGAAATCTAGCAACTGCTTCCTTAATTTAGTCAGAGTTAACCAACTTGGTAATGCAAGCTGAACACATATATTTTGGAACCTGAGCTATCTATTTTGGCTGAACACAGAACCAATTAACCAGACAATTTTCAAATGCCATGTAGACTAGCTGCTAATATGATTTCCTGTCACACAGTGGATCATATTCTCATGAAAACATAACCAGCTGCTTTTCCTACCCCCTGGAACGCCCATCCCCTATTTCCATACAGCTAAACCCTAACTGCCTTTAAAGAAGACCCAACCCAAGTGGAATTTCTACTGACCATCTGAACAGGAGATTATTACTTTACACCTTGTTGCATTTATTCTACTTTTCTTATTTTTCCTTTCGAAACTCTTAGCTCCTTGAGAACAGAATTAATATCTAACTTAAAAAAAAGTCCTCTAACAAGTGGCTTTATGGCTGTACATTCTGTATTAGCCCAGAAAATTTCCACAACTCTCCATGCCTCATATAATATCTCTTTCCAAAATTTTAAAATCTTTTACAGTATTTTAAAGCTCATTGATGTTTTTCTATTTCTATATACTGTTTCTTTCTACTAAGAATTAGAGGAAATTACATACATGATGATATAATAAAGTATTATTAGAAAGAGAAAATAAGACTGAGGAAAATAAGAATCTAAATATCCTGAGAAGAAGAGCCAACCCAGTTTATGTATTAGCTCTGTTTTATAGATGATGAAATGGATTCAAGGTCCCTCAACTAGTAGATAACTGTATTAGGATAACTTCAAACTTTTTGTATGTTCCACAACTTTGCTTATAGCATATGCAAAAAGAAATAGTTTTGTCAGTGATCAATGATGTATCTCCAAACTGCTGCCTGGAATTCCAAAAACAGAAGGCATTCCAGTAGGAGTTTTAAGACGATCAGGATTGCTTTGTCCTGCCCTCCGCTCACCATCACATTCACAACTAAATGGTAGTTTCCGTAATTCAATTAAGTCTTGTCTATAGAAAAGAGCCATATAAGATGACACAAATTTCAAGGGGTTATATAGGAAATGAGGTGATAAAAGTGTCTATTAGGAAACTAAAGATATGAAGACGCCTTTCTCTCTTTCTTCCTCTTCTCTCTTTTCTTCCTCCCTTTCTTCTACTTTTTTCTTCTATGCCACTTGCCTACCTACTTCCTGCTAAGCTACCTAATTACCTATTCACCTATCTTCTAGATATTTCCCCATAGCAGACAGAAAATAAGACTTAATTTTTCTACCAAATACTAAAATTAAAGTCTAAGAACATTAGTCTTTCTTATGCAGTAAGATTATAAGCAAAGGGAAATGGAATTAAGGTAGAAGTCATATATATAGAAGAGGTTCTCCTTACTAATTCTTTCTTCGTTATCCTTATCTTTAAGGAAAGGTACTGTATCCCTCTTATTTATATTGGTCTCTTTGGCATTAATTAATTTTCCACAACAATATTAAATGAGGTAATATATGTAAACTAGTAGGTATAATACTGGTCCCATGGTAGGCATTCAAAATTATTTTTTGCTTTTCTACTTTCAGTTCCGGTTTTAAGTATCACCATTTAAGAAATCATACCTCTTGCTGCTTTAGATCAATGGTTCCCAATTGTGAACACATTTTAAAATGTAGGTGCCTGGACCCTACTCCAAACTTACAAAATTAGAACCTCGAAGAGGAGGGATGGAACAGAAGCAAAATAAACCAAACTTTCTGGTTCAGAACACCGTCTTAGTTGGTCATAAAGACCTTCATTCCCACCCACTCCCACCACTACTAGACTGGAATCTCCATGGAGTCAAGGACCTTGACTCTCCATCATCACTGTCCAGTGCCTAGATTAGAGTTTGAAAGAGGTAGACACTCAGTAAATAGTTACAGAAGGTGGGGTGAGGCAGCAATCTACTTGCCTCTGAGCTGAATTAATTGTAGTCACATTTGTGCTATTCTCTTCTTCAGCAGGTTTCTGACATGAAATCAGATATTCTGGAGTCAGCTCAGTCTTTCTCCATATCCAAGAAGTTGCAGAACAATATGTTATCTGAGAAGCATGAAATCCTAAATCTCTCTATGCCTCAGAGCAGCAACCTCCTTAGTTATCCATACTTATTTCCTCTCAATTTTTCCTTTTCTGTACATAGTCATTCCCATCTAGTAATGAATTAAGAGTTTTTCTTTTTTAATGAATTTATCTATTTCTGTAGAAGCCTTTTTAAAGCTGTCCTACACAGAGGAAAATATGTTTTTTTTTCTCTCAAATCCATATCAGCAACATTGAGGGCAGTGAATAAAGAGAAAACTGGGTAGATCACTTACATTTTGTCCAAGAAGTCCATGAGAGGTCTTAATACAACCTCTGCATCCATGGCTGTACTGTTCTTATTAGATGCGGCATTTCCAGTTGCTCTCATTTGATTTAGTTCAAAACTCATCTGTTTTATGCACTCTTCAATGATAAGCTGGAAACTGAAAATAAAGAATATAAATTCTGGAATAAGAGCAAACATTTATGCCTTCCTTTGCCTGTGTCTGTAAAATTCACCCCAGGGAGTCTGATCTGTTTGCAATGGTGTGACAGACCTTGCTCATTAGTTTTCGAACTTATTGTTTAGCTGCAAAAAATTTTGTTGCAATGAAAGCTTATTTAGAACGCTTATATGTAAAGTAGGTAAGACTGATGCTTTTCAGGTCGAATTAACTTGAGTGGGAGATCATTCGGCCCCCATCACTCACAGTAATAGCTGAGATGTCCCTCTAAGCATGTTTTGGAAAAATGACTGTGAGTGACTCTTGGCATCTGGGTACACCTTCTTCACTTAGCCTCTGGGACTCCACACCCTCTGAGCTTTCCTCCAACCTCACTAGGTGCTCCTTCTCCATTGCCTGACCTCTAACTATTGTAATAAGGTTGCCAGACTTAGCATATTAAAACACAGAATGCCTAGGTAATTTTAATTTCAGATAGTGAATAATTTTAGTGTAAGTATGCCCCGTGTGATACTTGGGACATATTTATACTAAAGATTGTCCATTTTTATATGAAGTTCAAATTTAATTGGGCATATGATGTAGTTTATCTGGCAACACTACATTGGCAATCCCACCTCTAGGCTCTATCCTTGGACCACACCATTTCTCCATCAAAAATCACTGCTGTGGGGCTCCCCTGGTGGCACAGTGGTTAAGAATCCGCCTACCAATGGAGGGGACACGGGTTCGAGCCCTGGTCCGGGAAGATCCCACATGCTGTGGAGCAACTAAGCCTGTGTGCCACAACTACTGAGCCTACGCTCGAGAGCCTGCAAGCCACAACTACTGAGCCTGTGTGCCACCCCTACAGAAGCCCACACGCCTAGAGCCTGTGCTCCGCAACATGAGAAGCCACCACAATGAGAAGCCTGCGCACCGCAATGAAGAGTAGCCCCCGCTCGCTGCAACTAGAGAAAGCCCGTGTGCGGCAACAAAGACCCAATGCAGCCAAACATACATAAATAATAAAATAAAATAAATTTATTAAAAAAAATCACTTCCTTGGCAATCATAACTAGTCTTATGATTTTCTTACTGTCTGTATACTGATGATTGCCAAATATACATCTATAGATATGACTTCTATTCTAAAATACAAACCATTATTAAACTGCCTATGTAGCCTTTTTACTTAGCTAGAAGTCTAATGAATTCTTCTCATCCAATCTAATGAAATTTTCAACATCCAATCCGTCAGCACATCTTTATAAAGTATATTAAATCTGAGGATCTATTATTACTTCCACAAAAGCTACTGCAGACCAAGCCACCATTCTTTCACCTGAACTTGTGTGATAATTTCCTACATTATCTCTCTGTTCAACCCTCTACAGGTATCTTTTAAAATAGAAACCAGATCATGTTCCTCTCTTGCTAAAAACCTTCAATGGCTTCCAGATCCACTGGAAAAAAAAAAAAAAAAAGCCTAGAATGTATTTCATGGAGTTAATTAAATCCCAACATATTCTGGCCCTGGAAACTTCCCTGATGTCATTTCTTGCCACTATTCCCTCTGCTTCATTGCAGTCCCGCCACAGTAGTCTCCCTGGTGTCCTCAGAATTCTCTGAGGACACTCTTATCTCATGGTGACTGTTATGTTCCCTCCCCCATGCAATTTCTTGTGGGTCTATTAGTCGCTCACTTATTACAGGCATAAGCCAAATGTTACCTCCTCGGAAACGTCTTTCATAAATACTCCACCTGAAATGAAATTCCTATCATTCTCCATTTCCTTACAGTTCTTTACTGCATTCTCCATTATTTGACACATTACATAGTTTTTATCTATTTGTTTGTTGCCTATTTCTCCAAATAGAATATAAGCTCCATGAGGGCAGGACTGTTTTTTTCAGTGTTATATACCCACACCATGAGTTCCTCAAGAAATATTGGCTGAATGTATCAATGGACCATCCTCCTTCCACCCACCCCTATTAAACGTGTTGAACAGATAAATGACCTGTTTAACAACACCCCATGACCTCCCCCACTTAAACCCTATGATCTACATGCCTATAATGCCCCACCAACCCCCCAAGACGGAAATATATAAATACATAGAATTTAATGTATCCAACAGCGTGAACATTTCAGTGCTCAAAGTAAGATACACCTAGAAAATAAACCCTAATCGTACCAATGAATTACTTAGATATAAACCACTTATACAGACAGACATCTCCCTAGATCTATCAGCCATTTTCATTAAAATTTTAATACTAAATCTAACATAAATTATACAGGATAACTATATACATGTTACATCATTATATAAACACAACTTGTTAATGTAGCTTAAATTCTAAAGCAAGGCACTGAAAATGCCTAGATAAGTTTACTAACTCCATAGGTTTGTTCCCAGCCTTTCTATTAGTTTTTAATAAAATTACACATGCAAGCATCCGCACCCCAGTGAGAATGCTCTCTAAATCATTACTATTAAATGGAGCAGGTATCAAGCACACTAATAGTAGTAGCTCATAGCACCTTGCTTAACCACAACCCTATGGGAAACAGCAGTGATAAAAATTCAGCCTTAAATGAAAGTTCAACTAAGTTACATTATCTAGGGTTGGTAAACTTCGTGCCAGCCATCTTGGCCATATGATTAATCCAAATAAACAGAAAACCGACATAAAGCCTGTTAAAGAGTAGTAAAAAATAAAGTTAAATTCTAACTAAACCCTAAAAAGCCATAGCTAAAATAAACTATGAAAGTGACCTTAGTATTTCCTGATTACACGACACCTAAGACCCAAACTGGGATTAGATACCCCAATATGCTTAGCCCTAAACCCTAATTATAATAACAAAATTATTCACCAGAGTACTACTGGCAGCAGCTTAAAACTCAAAGGACTTGGCAATGTTTCACACCCCTCTAGAGGAGCCTGTTCTATAATCAGTAAACCCCGATAAACCTCACCAAGCTTTGCTAATTCAGTCTATATACCGCCATCTTCAGCAAACCCTAAAAAGGAATAAAAGTAAGCATAAATACTATACATAAACAGTTAGGTCAAGGTGTAACCTACAGGATAGGAAGAAATGGGCTGCATTTTCTGTTTCGAGAATGTACTTCTCACATACGAAAGTTTTTATGAAAACTGAAAACCAAAGGAGGATTTAGTAGTAAATTAAGAATAGAGTGCTTAGTTGAACAAGGCCATGAAGCACGCACACACCACCCATCACCATCCTCAAGTATTACAACAACTTCCTATAACCTATTAACAAACACCAACTATATGAGAGGAGACAAGTTGTAACAGGGTAAGCATACTGGAAAGTGTGCTTGGATCAATCAAAGCATAGGTTAAATAAAAGCACCTCGTTTACACCTAGGGGATTTCATAATCTATGAATACTTTGAACAACTTTAGCCAAAACCTCCACAAATTTTACTAACACAAGCATATTAAATAAATCGTTCACTCAGCATTTAAAGTACAGGACATAGAAATTTAAAACAACATTTGGCGCTATAGAGAAAGCACCGTAAGGGAATGATGAAAGAAGCATTACAAGTAATAAAAAGCAAAGTTTACCCCTTTTACATTTTGCATAATGATTTAACTAGTAAACATTTAACAAAGAGAACTTAGCTAAATACCCCGAAACCAGATGAGCTACTTATGAAGTTTGTAGAACAAACTCATCTATGTAGCAAAATAGTGAGAAGGTTTATAAGCAGAGGTGAGGAGCCTAATGAGCCTGGTGACAGCTGGTTGTCCAAGAAAAAAATCTTAGTCTAACTTTAAAAATTACAAAAATTAGAAATTTTAATGTATTTTTAAATGTTAATCTAAAAAGATATAGCTTTTTAGAAATGGATACAACCTTATCTAGAGAGTAAATAAACAACACCATAGTTGGCTTAAAAGCTCCACGAATTAGGAAAGCATTCAAGCTCAACAATAACTTTATCTTAATATCAACAATAAGCAAATCAACCCCTAGTTTTACACTGGACTAATCTATTAACCAATAGAAGCAATAATGTTAATATGAGTAATAAGAAATATTTCTCCTTGCATAAGCTTACATCAGTAACTGATATTATACTGATAGTTAACAGCAAATAAACACAATCCAACGTTAAATTATTAAGTACACTGTTAACCCAACACAGGCAAGCACTCAAGGAAAGATTAGAAAAAAGATTAACTAAGTCTGTGAAGAGTAAGCCTTAGAATTACTGTTTTCATTCTTCACATCGTCTACACTAGTTTTGGAGGTTCCTACCTAAGCAGCAGCAAATAGTAAGAGATTTAAATAGTGGAGACCTTCAGCATATGCCACCATTCCTCTATGTTGTCTGTTACTTTCATACCTCCAACAATAGGAGTAATTATAATACACATTCAGGCAGGCAAGAAAAAAGCCAGTTAGGATAATGGGGGTAAATAAAAATTTGGGAAATGACCACATCATGGGAATGGTGATGAGAAGGAGGGAGTTGATTTTAGTATTGAAATCAAGTCAGTCCCATCCCTCTTTCTCCACACACAATGATTACACAGTTCATGTTATTTAAGAAGGATCCAAATGCATCAATTCCTCACATTTTATATAGAAGTTTAGGAAGTTCCACTATATAATGCTGTCATTATTCATTAAATAGAAATAATATAAATATTTATTAATGTATGTATGCATTCTACAAATGTTTAATTAATACTGTGTGCCAGTCTCAGTTACTAAGATACATCAATGAACAAAACAGATAAAATTCCTTATTCTTTTTGTTTTGTTTTTGTTTTTTTGCGGTACGAGGGCCTCTCACTGTTGTGGCCTCTCCTTTTGCGGAGCACAGGCTCCGGACCCGCAAGCTCAGCAGCCATGGCTCACGGGCCCAGCCGCTCCGTGGCATGTGGGATCCTCCTAGACCGGGGCACGAACCCGTGTCCCCTGCATCAGCAGGCGGACTCTCAACCACTGCGCCACCAGGGAAGCCCAAAATTCCTTATTCTTATGGCACATATTTGACCCTTTATTTTTGAATTTACATTATAAAAATATTATAGCCTGTTGTTAAATATTTCATTTTTCTAGTTTTTGGTTTTGCTACCTACTATGGGAAATCTTTGATGTATTTAATTTTGTTATTTATTTATTAACATCTTTATTGGAGTATAATTGCTTTACAATGGTGCATTAGTTTCTGCTTTATAACAAAGTCAGTCAGTTATACATATACATATGTTCCCATATCTCTTCCCTCTTGTGTCTCCCTCCCTCCCACCCTCCCTATCCCACCCCTCTAGGTGGTCACAAAGCACCGAGCTGATCTCCCTGTGCTATGCGGCTGCTTCCCACCAGCTATCTATTTTACGTTTGGTAGTGTATATATGTCCATGCCACTCTCTCACTTTATCACAGCTTACCCTTCCCCCTCCCCATATCCTCAAGTCTGATGTATTTTAAATGATCACAACTTGGGTGTTTATCTTGCTCCTGATACAGCAGGTTTATAAATATTGGTCCATATTATTGAGCATGTAGTCAAGGCCTGATTCTACTTCCACCATTGCGTTGTGGCTGTTTCCATCTTTGGCTCCTGACTTCTCTATGACTTTCTTTACTAGTGATACCACCATTTCTGTCCCTCTGCATTTGACTCTTTGATCCTTGGATCTCAGTTTGCCTCTGTGGATGTGGTTCATTTCTTGGATCTCTGTGTATTTATCTCATTCAATGGAATATGCTGTTTCAGGTTTAGGTTCAAAGGAAGCTGAATGCCTAACCATTTGGCTTTTTTCTGGCTGGACCTGCCTTTGGACTTTTGTCAGGTAGTGGTTGGGGGGAAGGGTGGCATTGGGGGTAGTGAAGAACACCCAGGCATCAGATGTGAGAAGGGGGTGATGGTGGTGGGTGTATTTAGTGAAGGGTAGTGGCGGTAGATACTTGGGGCAAGAGAAAGGAAAGGTAAATAATGTTGGAAAACTTGACCTAGTTGATTTACTACTGGGCGTCAGTGATCCTGCTGACTGCAGTAATAATCACCTTTGAAATAGCTACTTTCTTTTGAACTTATTCTCAAATCAGTTTACTGGGCTGGAGGATAGACTGAGCAGAAGGTATGATACTCATGATCCAAAAATGTACAAACAGGTTCTTAAAACAGACCCATATGGTAAACACCCACCAGAAGCCAGCTCTGTGTGGGGAGATGAGACATATGGAGGAAGGATTACCAGAGAATAAAAGAGAATGACATTCTACCTTAGCATGAATCCAGGGTGAATCAACACCTGCATTTGACCCGAAAATCTTTTGTCTCTATCAATTTTTGGTAAATTCACCTAAAGAGTCTTTTTTTTCTATCCATTTTATAGTTGAAAAGTTTTTATTAATCAGCAGTACCAGGTAATAATGACAGAGTCTGTGAGCACTCAAGATGCCAAACACACAGAAGAAATCCTATGAAATAGTCCTAAATTTTTAATCTACTTAATCCAGCCAGCCACTGGCATCAAAGATATCATTAAAAGAAATGTAATAAATCAAAAAACCAAGCTGCAAAATGTGTGTAAGCAGAAACCTAAGTGGCCCAGGTTTTGAAAACGTTAAGAACATCCTTAAGATATCATTGAAGTCCTATTGCTGAGTCTCAGTTCCCAGGTGGATGCCCTTTGCATGTTATCAGGAACCTGGGGACCCGGGCTTCAGATGTTTGCTTTGGCTCTGTCCTGGCTTTCCTGAAAAATCACCCTACCAGCTACATAGGGTAGAATAATTTAATTGTGGGTTTTAATAACAGTAGATGAAATGGATTTGGGGCAATTAATTATGCACTTAACTTTAAAACTCTAGACCACTAATTTAGACTGTAAGAAGGGTGGATTCAGTTTGACTTCACAGCATAAAGTCCAGCATGGAATTACCCAGTTTGACTTCACAGCATGATCACACTGATCATTATGGACTTCCCACCTACCCTGAGTGTGTGATGCAGACCTGGTTGGCAGTATGGGAAATAAATCTATGGCAACAAAGATATAATAATTATTCTTTTTATAAGGAAAGCATGACATGTGGGCTGTTTATTTCAATAATCCTAGCTCTCTTAGAGCTATATTTAAAAAATAATGAAGAAATACAAACAGGGTAACAAGGAATTTCAATATCTAGGTTAAAGAGCTGACTTCATATGACTAAAGTACTTCAAGTGCCCTCCTAAAGGCATCTCTCATTTCATAACTGAAGTTTGCTAAGTTTTTCCAATCATAATATATATTTCAGCCTTTGTAACCTGAATATTCCCCAATCTTAAACAAAACAGAATAAAAAGTACTTGTTCAGAGGATGATTTGGATACATTACAGAAAATAATTTGAATATCCTTTTTGAATTTAATTATAGTTTCTATTCTGTTTAATCATCTTATTTCCTGTAAGGTTCTGAACACCTCTAGCTATTCCTGACCCCTTTTTTCTCCCCTTAACTTTGCTAAATAACTCTATTTTTGCCTTTGTAGCTGAAGGCAACAGTCCTTCTGCTAATCACATATCAACTTACAACTAGAATAAAGACAGGTAAGCCTCTAAGTGTCACCCCAAGTCACAGCCAACAAGCCCCCAAATCTCTGGGACAATGTCTGCCTCTCCAACTCCTTGTAAGCAGAAACTTCAAACTGCTTATTAACATTTAGGCCAAGTATGCAGGATCATCCAGGTCAGCTAATAACACAAAGCAGAAGGCAGAGCTATGACCGTAAAAGCTCAATACATCAAGACTGCATCTGGCCCAGCACTTAAACTATGAGAGGGGGGTTCCATGAAAATAATGAACACATCTCTGATACTGAAGAGAAGTCCAAGCATAGGATTTTTCTTAACTTTGCCTCATTTCTACATTTGAGAAAAAAATATGATACTTTCAGTGTCTTTTTTGTTTTAGTCTTTCGGATTTAAGAGTGGCAAAACTAATCAATGAATGTGTGTTAAGCATGTATCTTTCCAAAACACACTCATAAGTGATGACTGAGATTCAAAGAGATTACTAGCCCTCTCTATAAGAGTAAATTTCAGTCTTATTTGAGAACTGAAGACATAGCTGCAAATAATAAGTCAACATTTATTGAACTAATATTTAAAGCAAATTCTGTATGAAATTAATGAACCTCATCAAAAATGTGTTTGATTTACCACTGCATTAAAAACCAAACCAAACCAAAAAAAAAAACCCCACATAGGAATAAACCTACATAAGGAGGCAAAAGACCTGTACTACAAAAACTATAAGATGCTGAAAGAAATCAAAGACCACACAAACAGGTGGAAAGATACTGTGTTCTTGGATTGGAAGGATCGATATTGTTAAAATGACCATACTACCCAAGGCAATCCTCAGATTCAATGCAAACCCTATCAAATTATCAATGGCATTTTTCACACAACTGAAACAAAAAATTTTTAAATTTTTATGGAAACACAAAGGACCCTGAATAGCCAAAGCAATCTTGAGAAAGAGGTACTGGCATGAAAACAGACACATAAATCAATGGAAAAGGACAGAAAGCCCAGAAATAAACCCATGTACTTATGGTCAATTAGTCTATGACAAAGGAGGCAAGAGTACACAATGGAGAAAAGAGAGTCTCTTCAATAAGTGGTGCTGGGAAAACTGGACAGCTACATGTAAAAGAATGAAATTAGAACATTCTCTAACACCATATACAAAAATAAACTCAAAGTGGATTAAAGACCTAAATATAAGACTGGATACTATAAAACTCTTAGAGGAAAACATAGGCAGAACACTCTTTGACATAAATCACAGCAATATTTTTTGGATCTGTCTCCTGAAGTAAAGGAAATAAAAGCAAAAATAAACAAATGGGACCTCATTAAACTTAAAAACTTTTGCACAGCAGAGGAAACCATTAACAAAATGAAAAGACAACCTACTGAATGGGAGAAAATATTTGCAAATGATATGACCGATAAGGGATTAATTCTAATCTATTTTAACATTTGCTGATGAGATGACGGCTTTTTCCTATAGATCCAAAATGAAGTTTATCTAGGATGAACTTCTCATTCTTTAGAAACACACCATAGACAAGCAAAGTTAATTAAAAAAAAAAAAGACAAAACATAGATATGTCAGTAGTTTCCCATGAGCTAATTGCATTAACATTTCTAAAGCCTAAGACAAATCATCCTGATTTAATTCAGTTATGGGGTTAAGAGTTCAGTTCTTTCGAAGTGAAACCACACTGATGTGTATGGCATGAACACAACTCATACTTGTTATATATGTGAGGATTTTATCTCTGCCTTCCCTCCTCCCTCTATTCTTTCAACAGCCAATTGCTAAGCTCTAAACACTAGAACTGCAAATAAGAATGAGATGTTAAGAAACATACAATAAAGAGAGGGAAAGAGGAAAGTTAACCAGAACTTAGAGCATAGTGTTGTAAGTGATACTCAACTGCGAGATACTGGGGAGCAGGAGTTCTGGGAAGCAAGCAATCTAAGACATCACTATAAAATCGCAGGGTCATGGAAGATTTTCCAGAGGAGGTGATGCTTAGATTGAGTCTTGAAGTTAAACGGACTTAGACAGTCAGAGGAGAGAGACAGTGTTGAAGGCATGATTATCATTAAATGAAACCTAATACATTTGGATAGTAATTACTTAGGCCACTTACTTACCTTTCACCATAAGTGACACTGAGCTCATCCAGAACCCCACTGAGTTTAACCTGAAGTTCTTTTAGAATAGTACTAGCTTCAGGATCTAGCTGCAAAGAGACCATAAACAATATTACTTTGGAGTTCTGAGAGAGCATGCCTTTTATCTCTTAGAACATTTTGCTTATTACAAGGTAAACTTCAAACAATATAGCATACATATACTGTTTCCTTTCCTTTTTTTAACCTTTGAAATCAAATGCAAAATTTAGATAATTCTAATGAAACCAGAAGAGTTCTTACATTTGAAAAAATTGATTGAAATGCATAGCATGCATACAAAAAAGAGCTAGAGAGCAAAGCCTTTGTTGGTTATAGCAGTGGGATGCAAGGTATGACAAAATATCCTACAGAACTTGATAACTTAGAAAACTGGTTACATTAGTTGAACATATGTGTTGCTTGAAAATATATTTTCATTTTTAATATCCCTGTAAATAAATAGGCCCATTGAACTTTAAAAATGGCTAAAAATTAATTTTTGCATGTTGTGCCTTATTTTTCCAAGTATGGAATTAAAAGTAATAAACAATTATCCTGTTGCTCCAGTGTGTTTCTCTGGAGGTGACAGAGCTAACTTTTCTTCCTGGATGCCAATTGGTAACTCAGAGTTCAAGATTCAAAGTTTCCCATTTTTTAAATTTATTTTTAAATTTTTCTTTTGGGGAGAGGGGGCAAAAGAAAAATAATTAAATCAAGAGGACATTTTATGCTTACTCTTACAATGTAAAAGCCAATTATTCTTTTTAACTGATTTCAGTGCTAAAATAATATCAATCAATATTAGAAAATAACATAATATAAATGAACACAAACAAATAAAACATCAAACTTTTAACGTGGGAGTATTTTTTAAAAATTAAAGGATGAACATAAACTTTACCAGCATTTAGAAAATTTTATCCTGTTTGTTAATTATTGCAAACTAGTTGTCAAAATAGAATAACTTATAATAGATGTACTGTATCTAGCTGATAGAAATTCATGTAAAGGGAAACCTAGAATATTCTCTGAAATTTAAGCCAATCTTCCTTTGAGTCTTCAGAAATTCAATTTCCTACCATTAGTACCTATAGTTCTTGCCCAAGCTGAACTATTGTTGAAGAGAGGGGCATAGGATGAAGACAACTTTGGGGAGTAGAGAAAGTTAAAGGAGGACTTGGTATAAACAAGAGAACCTAAGAACACCAAATACATATATGACCCAAATCAGTTTAAACTCCTGGGAGGCAACCCAGAACCAAAAAGTGTCCCTAATAGAATACACTGGTCATAAATCTTATAGTCCTCTAGGAACATTTTCTAATAGTAAGAAGCTATTAGGAAGAAGTATTATTTACACACCTCAGCATCTGGGTAGCTCTATGTTATGCCAACTTGATTAAAAACATTGGAGTAGAAACCAAAGATTGCATTTGACATCTGATACTTTACTAGTTATGTCAAACCAATCCTTAATGTCAATTTTCACTCACATCTAGGTGATTTCAGGATTGGTTAGTTTCTGCTCCTTTATCAGAGCCAATGTGATTCTTCTGGACTAATTTTTTTCTGTCTCTGTCATAAGAGATTACCCACACATGCACAGGCCACCTTAACAGATGCAGACTTCTCTAGCAGTTGGAAACTTACAATATCCCTAAGTCTCATACTTTGAGAGTTCCATTCACCTATAACCAGTTGCAAGGCAGTGATTCAGAAAAACAATTAGATATTACCTGTTTTTAAATAGCCCTGACACTGATGTGCATTTAAACATAATTAGCCTAATAAACCATATCTCCCCAACGCTTAACCAAGAAAACATATGTGAACTGCCCACCCCAATCCTAGGGAACCTTGTAAGCTGAATGTTTTTTTTATCACATGTTCTTGCTATTATCCAAATACCAATTTTAGACCAACTTCACTTGGATAAAAATGTTTGGGAACAGAAAATGAGAGAAGACCTCCCATAGAATTTTCTTCAGGCCCCACTCTGTGCTAAACCATGATAGGTGGTTGTTCCCCACCCACATATCTGCCACCTCCAAGGAATGGCTCTGACAGTAGGGTTTTCTTCAGGAAATTGGGTTGCTTCTTATTTAAAGTATGTATTTTGTTTCCATATTAGTTTGATATGCAGATTGAGTTAGTTTGTTCACCTGTTAAGACAATGACTTTAAAGTCATACAAAAATGGTTAGGTAGGTCAGTTGGACGAAATTATGCTCTTTTCTTATGAATCATTTTAGTCTACCTTAGGTATTTTGTGAACGGAAATTTTCTATCAAATAATTGGTTATTACTTGAAAATCTGAAACTGTCAAAATATAGCAATTTAAATAATGGATGACAGTTTTCATTTCCTGAGAGAAGCATGAGTTTCTAAGCAGGTACAGACAGAATGCCTCTGTCATATAAACAGGAAAAAAACAAACAAAAAAAAAACCAGAAAAGCTTTAGTTTTCAGTTAGGTATTTGACATTTATCTGATCCAAATCATAGGATTAAACCATTAAAATAGGAACAGTAATTTTGAGGCCAATATTCAAATTGCAGGTCTTTTGTAATAATGGGCATAAATAGCATACCCATCTAATTATAAAACAATCTCTTTGGCCAGCAAATTTACCAATTCTTGAGTTCTTCTGCATTTCTTTATGTGTCCAAATTGAGAAAAATTTCCTTACTCCTACAAACTCCCTAAAGTTTGTAAGAAATAATAAGTTGGCACTGAGAATTTATTGCCTAAATTACCAATAGCATATTTTACAAATTATTGGCTACCTTGGAAAGGTAAAAAGCTACCTAATTTTTTTCACAAATGTTTAAAACTTAGCTTAGTTCTGTAAGGAATATGACATCAAACATCAAAAGTAACTTGCGCCTTTATTTGTATTTTAGAGTTATTAAAAGCAAAAAGAGAAAGATAAACAAGAAAAAAGATAATATTTCAAGCATTCAAAAGTCAAGGTTAGTAAATTTATTTTAAATTAGAAACTGTATTAGAAAGTGTACCTAAACAACTTGGCTGGCAAAGTTATTTACACCACTGAGATACTTTACACTATTGAGCTGTGGTAATATGAATGACTTCTGGAAGAGATAGCTAGAAGGCAAAATATCTTTGCAGTTTTTTGTCCTCAAGGCTCACTTCTACTTTTCCTTTAAAAGACAATTTACTTATTACCTCCTTTTACAAATCTGACCCCAGATGTCACTCACCCCAGGCAGTCAGTGGCTCTAGTTTCTGTACTAACTCTGCTGTGCACTCTTACTGTCTATGCAGCCCTCTCTTTTAACCGTTCTCCTATGAATCTATCTCTCCCACTAAACTCTATCTTACTTAACTTTCTCTCCTGAGTGTCTGTCCCTGCAAGCCTAGGCGTTTACCAAATATTTGAGGAAGGAGGTGAGGGCAGCAAGAAGCATGAAATGATTCCCTCAAAGGGAATATTGATATCCAGAGTGCCCCTCCTCCCTAGACTGATACTTTGCGTTGACTATTAGTAGAATACTTTTGCATTTGAAATCTTTCATTCCTTAGCCACCATATATTCTGGAACTACCAAGTTAGTCCTAATTTCAAGTTTTTGTGTCATTGCCAGACCATGTCAGATTATGCCCTGATATTTGTTCGGTTCTAAAAATATGGTTACCATACCCCCACTGTATTTTTTTTTCCTAGCATAAATTCTTTCCCTAATTGGCCTATAGA